TGACTTCCATTTTGCTCACTATCTCTATGGTTATCTGGGAAATTATTTCTGTTTTGAATTTTTCTAGAGCCTGATTGATCTGTTTTGTTACTTCCTGTGCTTTGAGTTCAGGGTGTCCTGGTGGTGCACTATCGGCCTTTTCATCCTCCTTTGCCCTACTGTTTGCCATTGGTGAACTGGAAGTCTGTCCTTGTGTCTTGCTTAAGTGTTTTCTCATTTTTATTTTTGTTGTCGGACTGTCCTTGGTTTAATCTCTGGGTTATCACCCAAATCTTCCTGATATAGTTGCGCCCTAGCTTCTGTGTCTCTAACGACCCACAGACATTCTCATCTTTATAACATCAGAGAAAACAGCTCATCAAATCAACGGCAATGCTTTATCCCAACTGATACAATCAGCAACACATTAAGATCAAGCACAACTTGGACACTGACCACCTGTGGTAGTCACTAGTCTATCATCCTTAAATCATGTGAATTGAATTGAAATCAAGAAGCAGTCCAGAACATGTCTGCAGTGAACAAAATTTCAATATAGTGTATTTACCATTTAATGGCTCAGACAGAGCGAGGATGCAAGACCCCTGATCTCAGTTACCTGATGGCTGAACCCCATGATGCTGACTGACCTTGGGCTGCAAGGCCCAGATTGAGTTCCTCATCCTTCTGAATGGTTGAACTCCGCAACGTTCTATTACAGGTTTCCCACGCCCTTTCTTTAAAGATGTCAAAGTTGGGAACTCAGAAAAATACCCTTGATAACCACCTCTGTCTTTGCAGAGTGGGTCCAAAGACTTGCACAGTCAGGAGGTCTGAGACTGCAGGGGTGGGGGAGCTTATGGGGGTTCAGGAGTGGCAGCGCGATGGCAGCTGGGTCGGGAGCAGGCGTGGCTCTCCTTCCTGCGGTGGATCGGGGACCAGCCTACCTCCCGGCGCTTGAGCGATGGCGGCTGGGTCGGGAGCAGACGTGGCTCTCTCTGGGATGTGTGTTTTTAAACATCACAGCTTTATGTAGAATGGAAATTTTTTCATTTTTTAAACATAGATTTAATCCTTACTTCTGGTGAGCATTTTTGTGGTTTGTTCTTCAAGCTCCATCACAATGGTGGGAAATTTGAGGTTGTATGAGAGGCTCTAATACATTTACCATTAAAAAATAGTTATTCTATTTTCATATAAAATAAAATAATATCAAGGGCCACTTACCTTTTATTTGAAATTTCTACACGAAGAAGTTTATGGAAAAATTACAAAGAAAACAATTTGCCTAATTGTTATCCCATCAGTCAAAATCTAACAACACACTGACTCAGTACTCTTACTCTAAAAATCCCAAAGTACTTATTGAACTCCTCCAGGAAGTACTATTCATTTTCAAAGTCTGCAATTACCCTGCAATGAATTCACAGGAATGCTGCATAATATTTTCATCCTAAGGAAACAATGGTGATATTTAATAGCTGATGTACTCCATGAATTACAAGCTCAAGGTAGTTCAAAAATTCAACACCAGATGCTAGCATATTTCTTCCAACACTGTCATGTCTCTGCAAACCTGGATTTTTTTTTTGTACTTATTTTAATAAAGAGCAGAGAAGAACACTGCCTGTGTTCAATTTCATCTCAAGGCATGAGAAGTGGTACAGTGTCCAACAGCCACATGTAGGTATTTCACTAGAAGTAACTGTGGTTAGGGCCAGGGATTTAGCTCAGTGGTTGCAATGCCTGCCTTGCAAGTGCAAGGTCCCGAGTTTGACCCCCAGTACAAAAAGAAAAAAAAAAAGAAGTAACTGTGGTTATTTATGAACAAAATAAAATGCTTTAATTTTTTAAAAAGCCAAAAGGAAATGACTGTTTACTAAGCTGTTCGATAAAAACAAAAGGTACTTATGCCTTACTATCTTAGGAGCTATTTTTTTCCTGAAATGAGAAGAGATTTATTTATTTATTTATTTTCCTCATTGAGTTTTTTGGTACATTTTTAGGTATACAGTACAGTTGCATTCATTATTGGGATCTTGTACCTTTACATGATAGGTCTTGGTTCTCATTTTTTCCCCTTGTCCCTGCCCTCCCTTCACCCACTCCTCCTTCCCCCTTTATAAATACTTCATTTCCATTTCTTCATTTTCTCATATTTTTTTCTTTTTCCTTATTAGCTTTCCCCCTACCCTTCCCACTTTCCGTACACCTTTAGCCCCTTTCTTCCTATTTCACATTGTCCATCATATCATTAGGATCTTATGTACTATTATAGTTTATTCACACCAGAGAAACTACTTGGTATTTACACATGTGTGACTTATTTGTTTCACTTAGGAGTATATCCTCAATATGTATCCATTTTCCTAAGAATGAATCTAATTTCTCATTATTTATGGCTGAGTAATATTCCATTTTATAGAAAAACCACATCTTCTTTATCCAGTATGGTACTGGCAAAGAAACAGATCTGAGGATCAGTGGAACAGATTGGAAGACATAAAAACAAATCCAGATGTATGCAGCTACATCATCTTTGACAAAGGAATTTTGACAAAAGCTGACCATCCTCAGTGGAGGAAAGATAGCCTCTTTAATAAATGGTGTTGGAAAAACTGGATCTCAACCTGCCAAACTTTAGGAGCTGTTTTAAAAAATACATATGCATTAACCCTAGGCTGAGACAAAAATAACTGAGACACTAAGGATATTGTGAATTAAGAAAGCTTGGGAAACTTTTCCCTAGATATAGTCCACTAACTCAAACAAACAACTATACTTGCACTTTCCTTCATTAAATTTTATTAAATGCTTAAGGCTACATAACTGATTTAATAGACCTAATCTGAACCAGAAATCAAGACATAAGAAGCTCCACATTTCACTGAAAGATTAAAGAGCACTGAACTTTCATTTGTAATCTCATAATAAACTTGCCAACACAACAATAAAATTTCAAAACTAATTCTTAGTATTTCTATAAAATACCTGAATGTGAGCTTTCAATGGTGGTGTCTGATTTGGAATCCAGAATTGGAGGAACTGTTTGTAGCTGTGGAACATAGTACATCTGTGGACTACCAGATGGCTTATATGGCAACAGCACAGGCTGGGCTATGGAGGTAAAGATCAGAACAATTAATAAGAAAATAGTTATTAATTCAATGAGTATGTATTGAGGACTTTCTGTGTGCGAGGAAGTATTCAAGTTTCTTGAGATATATGAGTGAACTATACAAAAATGCGTATTTGGTTTCAAAAGAGCCAGAATTCTAGAGGTGGGAGACAGTATACATAATTAAACGACCAAATTATCTATATTTTAATAAACTATGTGTAATATGAAAAAAATTTAAAAAGAGATTACGAATACAGGACAAACTGGAGCAGGATGCAGTTTAGTATGACAGGAACAGGTTTCATTAAGAAAAAAATTCATTATGACTTTTTAGGAAATCTACATATAAATCACTGTAAATGAAAAAATTTATTGTATATCTAAACCTGTTCACTATTAGCCTCTATGGTAGCTAGTCTTATTCTACTCCCAGAGTCACAGCTAGTAACAAGAAAGGCTTTGGAGGGCCAGGGACTTAGCTCAGTGGTGCCACACTTGCCTCACAAATGCAAGGTCCTGAGTGAGGCAAGGTCCTGATCCCCAGTACCAAAAAAAAGTAGGCTCGATAGTAAAACCTTTTAGGGTATGACAAAAAAAAATAAGTTGCATCAATCTGTAATATCAGTATGTTTAGAAGTAATGCACTAAGTTCTTTCAATTCCCTTCTCTTCAAATTTGTTGTAATAACATTCTATAATCTTTATATTTCTCCATTGTGGGAAACCAGAGATTATTCCCCCAAATTTTCTGTTATTCTTCCTGACAAACTTTAAGATTAAACAAGTTTCAAAAAAATTCCACTAGAACTTTAGCAAAATTATGCCAAAATATATATTTACTGAAGAATAAATAACATCTTTACGATATTCAGCTTTCTTATCCACAAACATACCCTTCCTCCCTTTCTATCACTATAGAATTAATATTTTCCTGAATGTGGGTCACGCACAGTTTTTGTTTAGGTTATTTTTGAATATTTTATGGAGTTATATTCCTCATATGAATAGAATTCTGGGGATATCGTTTCTCTGGACCAAATACCTCATGCACCTTTAATTTACCCTTACAGACCATGATTTTCTCTTACAACTGCCCTCCACTTCTAAATATACTACTAGAACTAGTTCCTCACATCTAGTTTATAAAAATCAAAATGCTCTTAACAGACTATTAATAGTCCTTTCATTTTGAACATAACCACCTTTATATTATTAGATAGAATTTTAGAATTAAAGGATTTTGTTACCATCTTTGACAGTTCTAATGATTTATTTTGGCACAAATTTTATATCATTAGTACTATGCTTCAAAAGAAGGAAGTCAATTCATAATGAAGAAAATGAGGTAAAAGATGGGTGGATAAAGGTGTTCTTACCACATGCCTTATCATCCATAACTATGTCAAAGCTTTAAAACAAAAGTGAGTGAGCAACACTGATAACTTTAGGGTAAGAGTTTCTGAGGTGGAATGCTGTCAGAATATGGGATATGTGCTGAATCATATATAGTACTTTCCTATCTAAAGTACCAGAAAGAATACATTTAGAAACAAAGGTTGAGCCCTTTTAGAATCTTCTACCTTCAATCTCTGTGATTCTGAGATTTGTTAGATGGATTTCAGAAATAACAGAGAGATACTTCGACCAGGAAGAGCAGCTATTTAAACATTTTACATTTTTCTCCCATTAAAGCAATACATAGAGTAGCATAGATAGTACTGACTAAATCTTTGATCTGAACTATCATGAATAAATAAAGTGATCTTTTAAAAACAAAGTCATTAGAACATGACTAACATTTGGGGAACTATTTTACCATGCCTGATGATAGAAAATTATGTAAAATAATATTAATGCTATATATGCAGGATTAAAAAGTCTCAGATGACTTGGGATTATTGTACCACTCTACTGGGTCCAAATGACAAAACAGGAATCATTGTAGCCTTTTATTTGGTTACTAATGTGGCTAGCCATTATTGTTATAATACTGATTTATTAATTTTCTTCCTTCACCAGAGTATATAATTTGAATAAAGTGATGGTTATATTTATCATTTAGTTTAAAGGTTGCAAAAAAATTAATGACAAATAAGCAAGTTACAATGGATCCAAAGCAAGAATGCTACCACATGAAGGTGAAGAATTTTAAGATAAATGTTTTGAAGTTCTCAACCACTTACGTTTGGACACAATAGTCTTAAGGTTACTTTGGACTGTTTGCCATATCAAATACCTTTAGAAGGATGAAAGAAGAAAATTAACTATAAAATATATTGCTTTTAAAATCTGAAAATAGAATCAAGTATAATTCACAGTCATATGTCTAACATAAGTATCCCCCCTTTTTTTATAGTGGTGGGAATTAAACACAGGGCCTCATGAATACTAGAGAAATTACTCTATCACTGAGCTACATCCCATCCTCTTTATTTTATTTTCAGATAGGGTCTAGCTCAGTTGCTCAGGCTAGCCTTGAATTTATGATACCCCTGCCTCAGCCTTCCATGCAACTGGCATTACAGGCATGCATCACTACTCCTGGCTAAAATATACTTTAAAAATATACTTCTAGGCTGGGATGTAGCTCAGTGGTAAAGTATTTATCTAGCTAGGTTTGATACCCAGCACAGCAAATAAATAAAATACACTTTATTTTAAAAGCCTCAAATTGTTTTAAAATTATTACAAACTACTGTATTCTTAACATAGTGAGACAAAAATAAGTCAACCCTAGGCAACAAAAATTCCACACATATTGTTAATTTTACTGCAAATTAAGATAAAAATATAATAAATTATATTATCTTATAGCTACCTAAATAAAAAATGGATATAATAATCATGTGGATCCCACTATTTAAATTAAAATTAGGTTTAATGACTAGAAAGATAATCACAAATTTCTAAGATACTTACACACAAAAGTAAATAATGACCTTAAATGCAATCACACTGTCTTACCATCTGTGCCACGATTAGAAGTAATCTGCTGCACAGAAGATGAGGAAGCAAACCTAACAGGAAGTTTCTGTTGTTTTTTGGTAGTGGACTCTAGAACGTCAGGTCCATGATCTTCAGCATTAATAAAAATCTCAGATGAAAACATGGTCTTTTCTGGACTTTCTGTTGTTATCTGAGTGACTGCATCAGATGATAACTTTCCAGAGAAGGCAGAAATTTGGGTCTTACTCTGTTCTAGTGAACTGAACAAAAAAGACAAGAAACAACAGAACATGTCTTTGGCCAACAATATTTAGGCAGCTATAAGAAATATTCTGTGAAAACAACAATCTCAAATGGTAAAGTATTTCTATGGTACCCTTCATTTTGTTAGATACATATTAAAATGTGATCATGCACCTGTTTACTTTAAAACTTACTTTTAATTTATAACACCATTATATAATTTAACTAAGAAAATAGCACTTTTCAGTTAATGTGAACACACTCATTTATTACATGGCTGCTATAAACTATGCTACTTATCTAAAATGTACAAAGATAAAGAAGAAACACAGCCTCAAGGGGTTATATTTAAATAGGGGAATCTAAGGGCCAGGGATTTAGCTCAGGGGCACCACACCTGCCTCGCAAGCACAGGTCGCAAGTTAAATCCCCAGTACCAAAAAAAAAGAAGGAGGGTGATCTAGAAGTTTTCAAGAATGCAGTTATATATCTATATACAGAATTCATATTAAAACAGAGCAAATAATTTGGGAGAAGAGACATTTTGCTTAAGAAAAATTAAGGAGAATTCTAAATAATGTATGCAGACATCTCCCACAAAAGGAGGTAAAGCTTAAGTCTCCAGTCCTCGCCATGAGAATAGGCTGGACTTAGTGACTAGACTTCAAAGACTAAAGTAGAAGAGGGAGTAATGGAACAATCAGTTAAACACTGGCCTTATTCACATGATCAAGGCATTACCAGTGATAACAGGAGAATATCATATTCTCTGTGTGATGTAAAGTAGAGGCACTTCTCACCTATGTAGCATTCTCTCCCTAAACCTGAAATTCCAGTCTCATGATGAGAAAATATTAGCCAAACCCAAACCAAGAAACCACCTGCAAAATACCTGACTGGTGCTCCTCAAAACAGCTAGGTCCACTAAAAGCAGGGAAAGAAAAAGAGTGTCATATACCACAGGAAGAGGAGATGATAACTGACTTAGTCCAACTGGGTCGCTGTGTGGCTTATAAACAGAAAGTACTGTTCACAGTTCTGGAGACAGGATAGACATTTTCATTGCAAAAAGGAGTAATAAAAGAAAAAAGGGGGTAATAGGTAACAATCTTTAAACTCAAGAATAATCTTTGATTCAAGGTTCTGACCTTTAGGCTCTCTGGTCTGGAAGTCTTACCTTCTGGACCCATGTGGGCACTGGCTTTGCCCCCACAGCTTTGGGCAGTCCTCTCCCTAATACAGTTCTCTGTAGTAGACCTACTTCCTTGATGACTCTCAGTCTAGGTTGCACATGCCCAGGTCTACTAGACTGGAATTATACCCAGATGGCTCTACTAGTGTGGTGCTTTGTGATTGCCCTATCCCCAGACTCTACTAGGCATTGTCTTATGCGTTCTCCAGGGCTTTCTCTCAGTGATTTCCTATCTGGAACCCATGGCTCTCTAAGGTATCTATATCCCCACAACTTTGATGCTATATGAAGTACTGCGCTGAGGCTCTGAATGACAGTGTGGGTAGCAGAACTGAGACAGCATGGGGGCAGTGAGCACCAAGGCGCTGTTGTTGCCTAAAGAATCTCCTTTGAAATTATGTTATTCCCAATTATTTTATCTGGGCTACAGATGGGAATGGTAGTCCCAGAGATATATGAATGCCTGTGGGGTAATTCTTTGGTTAACTTGATGAATTCCATCTAGGTGATCATAGTAATCTTTATTAAATGGCCACTTGGCCATACTGTTGTTGCTCTCTCCCAAACATATGTTCTCATTTTTTAAAATAGGAAAGGAATTTTCCCTGTTTTAGATTTCTGCTACTTTTAAAAACAGAATTCCATCTTTATATTTTTCTCTTCTTGCATTTTACAATCAGGCTCTAAGAGAAATCTAGTTGCACCTTCAACACCTTGCTTAGACAATTCTTCAGCCAAATTCAGAATTTGCAAGGTCTACATTTCATAAAGCAATAGGACATGAATGTAATTCAGCCAAGTTCTTTGACACTTTATAAGAAAGAAGGGCTTTCTGCCAGTCTCCAACAACACATCCCTAATTTCTGTCTCAAGCCTCATCATAATGGTCTTTGTTCCCTATGTATATTTCTTACATTCTACTCAAAACTACTATATGTAAACCTTTTAAAATCTCAGGCCAGGGATTTAGCTCAGTGGTGCCACCACCTGCCTCACAAGCGCAAGGTCCTGAGTTCAATCCCAAGTACCAAAAAAATAATAAATAAATAAACAAACAAATAAAGATTAAGGACTTTACAGTTGTCCCACTTTCCTGAGAATACACCAAATTGAACAGTAACATCTTGTTCATAGCATGTACCTAAAAACTCTTCCAGTTTCTACCCATTACTCAAATCCAAAGCTACCTCCACATATCTAGGTATTATTTCAGTAGCAACCCTACTACTTGGTATCAATCTTTGTTCTAGTCCATTCAGGCTGCTATAACAAAGTAACATAGACTAGGTGGCTTATAAACAACAGAAATTTATGGCTCACAGTTCTAGAGCCTAAGTCCAAGATCAAGACACTGGCAGATTTGTTATCTAGTGAAGGACTGCTTTCTGGTTCACAGATACCTACCAGCCATGTTAGTACATGGAAAAAAAAGACTACCTAACTCCCTGAGGTCTCTTTTATAAGGGCACTAATCACATTCATAAGGGAATCTTCCTCTTGACTTAATTATAAGGTCCTGAGTTCAATCCTCGGTATTCCCCCAAATAAATAAATATTCAACATATTTAGCCATGAGGGAAATGCAAAACTACGCTGAGATTCCACCTAACCTCATTCAGAATGACTATCGTCAGGAATGAAAAAAAAAAAAAGATATTGATGAAGATGCAGGGGAAAAGCAACCCTTCTAATTTTAGTATATGTGCTGCTAAAGCGAGCACAAGGAACTCTTCTATGCTGCTGTTCAAAATACAAATTAGTACAGTTACTATGGAAATCCATAAGGAGGTTCCTAAAAAAAAAAAAAAAAAAAAATATGGCCGGGTGTGGTGGTGCACGCCTGTAATCCCAGCACTCAGGAGGCTGAGGCAGGAGATTGCTGTTGAGTTCGAGACCAGCCTGGACTACACAGTGCATTCCTGGTCAGTCTCAACTACATAGTGAGACCCTGTCTCAAAAAACCAAAAAAAATAAAAATAAAAATAAAACTACCATATTAACTCAACTATAGCTCTTTTTGATATATGTCTGAAGGAATTAAAAGTCAGTACTCTATAGGATACCATTTACTACAATACAATTCACAACAGCTAAGGTAATGGAAACAGTCTAGGTACCCATCAACAGATAAAGAAATATGGTATTTATATACAATGAAATATTATTCATCTATAAAGAAAAATGAAATTATGGAAAATGTAAATTATGTTAAGCAAAATAACAGATTCAGAAAAACAAGTACTGTACGTTTTCTCTGATATGCAGAATTTAACATGAGGAAGTGGGTCACGGTAGGGGAGGTGTGGGCATGATCCTAGGGACCATATATCTGATCTGACCCTTCTTCTCTTGCTTTCCATCCCACTCTCCTTCTTTAGCTGCCATAAGTTGAGCAGCTTTCCTCCACTATGCTCTTCTTGCCTTGCAGTGAGTGGACGACTGACTGAAACCTCTAAAATCATGAACCAAAACAAACCTCTCCTCCCTTAAATTATGGGTGTCAGGTATTTTGTCTTAGCAATGAAAGCTGATCAATGCAATCATAAACTATTAAATAAGAAAGCATGACTCTAGACCGATACAAATAACAAAGTGAAAGTTTGCTGAAGAATATTTACATAATTATTTTTAAAGTTTAATTGTGGTTTGGATCTAAAATGTTCCCTAAAAGTCTCATATATCCAGATATAGGATTTTGTTGGGGATGAGTCACTAGGGATGTAACCTGGAAGAGTGAATTCTTTTCTCTCAATTTTTCCCTTTTCTTTCTGTTTCTTGGCTTCCATAGAGTGAGCAGCTTTCCTCTGTTGTACCATTCTGCCCTTCTGTTTCTGCCTTAGAGCCAGTCAATCCCAGACAGAACCCTCTGCAACTATGAGCCAAAATAAGCATTTCTTCTTTTTTTGGATGTCAGGTGTTTTGTCCTAGCAACAGGAAAGTGACTGATACATTGTCTTTCATTTATCCCTGAATTGGGTTTCCTTTCCTACAGTACAACATGAAAAGTATAATCATGCCACAGTGAATTGATGTGCATTACTGGTGATGTTAACCTTAATTACCTGGTAAAATAGTCATCTGCCAGAATCCTCCATTGCAAAATTACCACTTTTCTTTGTGAAAACTAGTATTTGAGGGAAATGAAAGGCAATCAAAGAGGGGGATGGGGAGCCAGACACACATGTAATCTCCCAAAGGAAATCTTTAGCATATCTCCAACACAAAAACAAAGAATTAGTAAATTATATCACTGGATGATCAAAGATTCCTTTCAAAATAATTCAATTTCTTATAACATCTGAGTTCAGGTCTCATCAAAAGCCCTTCAAAAGTATGTATTATCTTCGCATATTCTTATTAATATACTTCTTGAAAGACTTCTAGCAGATTAGTCAGATACAACCTCCCTTAAAAAAAAAATCATACTGCCTTTTTCCAAGAACTTACATTTGCTTAAGTATTTTAAACCCTTTATAACAAATTCCATCAGCTTCACTGCTATCATAATGAGACTCACCGATCTGCAGATACCAGAGTCCCTTCTGGTTTGGAATATCCTTCCAAATCTGAAATGTTCACTTGTATTTGCCTTGAGGTTGTTATCTGGCTATTCTGAGAAGGTACAGTTTTCAAGTCCTGAACAATAGAATTACTATCTGGAAGAGGAGACTGTACAACTTGTAAGTCCAGAGGAGATTTAAGTCTTAGAAAACCTAAAGGTTCTTGATTCTGTGCTACAGATTTACTGGTCAATAATTTGGAGGCTGGTTCCAATAAACTTGAAGACACAGTTTGTAGATCAGAGTTAAACTCACTATTCATCCTTGTTTTAGAAGCAGAGTCCAATGGATAAAATTTTTTATCTAATGTTCCACTATCCAACTTGGAAGGAGTCTTGGGGCAAAGAGTGAAACGAACACAGGAAAGTGCTTTTTTATTTGAAGATGGAGCAGATGCAGACGCTGTTAATGTACAGTGACCAGGAGGTAACTGGGACATCAAATTATTGAACTTAGCTTCAACATTTATATTAGAAATGTGTGATTTAGGTGTATGTTTGTTCTTTTCTGCTATACAATCCTGACCTTGAGAAAGAGAAAAATGGTCTTTCCTCATGTGGTCATCTACACTTAGGGCTTTACTTTGATGCTGTTCAAGAAAAATGGAAGAAGGAAGATCGGAAGCTATATAATCCTGACAATGGGAAAAGGAAGAATGGTTTTCTCTCATCTCAGGATCTGTATGTGGGGGTTTACTTTGTTTGAAGAGTTCTCGCTGTTCAAGAAAAATGCAAGAAGGAACATTTGGACAAAAAGGAGAATGGTGTTTTCTCACATGGTGATCTGAAAGTGGGACTTTACTTTGTTCGAAAAGCTCTCGTTGTTCAAGAAAAATGAGTGAAGGAAGATCTGGAGTTATAGTTATATTGTTCTCTTTTACTTCTAGTGTGGAATTTGGTCTGCTCATGCTAATGAGGGTATGGTTATCAGAAAACTGAACTTCCTTGAAATTGCTACAATTTGCACTGCTACTGGGCTCAGAAGGGCTGACTTTAAAATCTGATCTTTCTAAGAGTTTATCTTCTTGATGAGAATGCTCAAAATCAACAGGTGACTTTTCTCTTTGCCTATTACCTTCTAGTGCAACAGTCACATCTTTATCTGGTGAATGATTAAATGTTTTAAGTGATGAAGGGGAAGAGGTTTTCTGTTTAAAATCTCTAGGAGGAGTTTGCTCTTCAGTGACATTAGAATTAAATACCCCCACAGATGCTCCAGTACCTTGACTACTTTCAGTAACACCAACCTTAAAAACAGAGGAATCTGAAATGCATTTAGAATGTCGGTGAGATGAAAATGTAATGGAGGTAGTAAACTGTCTCATGGGCTCAGGGGTAGGTATTTGTGTTGAAGAATGAAAATCCGCACATGCAGGTTCTACTAATTCTGACAGCCAGGGCTCTGTTTTTTCACGGGATGGCATTCGAAGATCTTTGCTGATGCTGTTATGAAACTGGGAATGACTTTGTAACTGTAAAGAATTCCAAACTCTGAAATGGGGGTTGTTTTGCTCTAGTGATTTAGAAAAATTGATGTGTCTGGCTCTCCATGGTGATGGGCACCGTCGTCCTCTGATCACTTCTGAGGGTTCAGCAGATCTAAAAACACAAGAGCGACTGTCCAATTGTGGCTCTTCAGCAGTCAGAGTACTGAAACATCCTTTTTCATGGCTTTCAATAATGATGTGACCACATACAGGTTCAGGTGTGCATCCTACTCCCCGTAGACTCTGTAAACCCTAAAAGACATAAATTGTTCTTACTTTAAGTAGTCAAAATAGCTTTTATTATGCTAATGAGTTTTCTATCAAGACTAATATTTGAACATGAAGATCATGTTCTTTTATAAATGAAAAAAGTCAAAGAATACAGCAAGAAAATGATAGTTAACTATGGAACAAAATGGCTCATAACTAAGACCACTCAGAAGAGTTCTAAAAATTTTCTACTGTATTACAACAAAGACTACTATTGCTCCCTGATAAGTATTCTCATCTCCTTCTTTTTAGTAATAGAAGTACCTTGCCCAAACTTTGGCTAACCATAAAGCCACCAAACTGGAGACATTTATCATTTCTTTTCTAGATAACTGTAATCATATGACTACGTTTAGCCTCATATGACTATTTAGTCTTCTGTTTCTTGTCCTTAAAATCTAGCTCCTGACCTCTATGTTCCATAAATAACTACCATCACCGGTATCATAATAATTACTCTTGCTATCTGTTTTTTTGTTTGTTTGTTTGTTTGTTTGTTTGTCTGTTTTGTTTTGGGTCTTTTTGGTACTAGGGATCGAAGTGAACTCCGGACCTTTCACTTGCGAGGCAGGCAGTGGAACCACTGAGCTAAATCCCTGGGCCTATTCTTGCTATCTGAAAATGGTACAAGTCACACGAAAGTTCTATTAAAAAGAAAGTTGCTGGGTGTGGTGGCACATGCCTGTACTCCCAGCACTTGGGAGGCTGAGGCAAGAGGATCCTGGGAGTTCAAGGCCAGCCTGGACTACATGGTGAGTTCAAGGACAGCCTGACCTACACGAGAGAACCTGTCTCAAAAAAAAGGCCATTTTTACATAAGCTATTATAACTGTCTTCTTTTCCTTCTTCTTTTGCAGTACTGTGGAACAAACCCAATGGCCTCACAAATGCTAGGAAAATGCTCTACCACTGAGTTATACCTCCAACCCTATAATCATGATGTTAAGTAGAGAATATCTATCTAAAGCCAGCTGGACTTCATTTGCATTTCAAGAGGTCAATTTTAAGAAAACAAAATATGTGATGTTTAGTTTCTCTGTTGTAAAACTAAATTAAAATGCAAATCAATTCTTATTTTTTTAAGAAGATAAATTTTTTCTCAATAGATGAAACTTATAGAATCTAATCCTTAAATTTTAACTTTTGACATTTAAAACACCTAACATTGGGCTGGAGATGTAGCTCAGTGGTACACAGTTGTCTAGAATGCATGAGGCCCTAGGTTAAATTATCAACACCACAAAACAAATAAACACTTTATCTAAAGATTATCAGCAACTCTGCTCTGATCACCAATGCCCAAATAAGAAATTCAATTTCCACCACCTTTGCTTTCACATTTTCAGTTTTGATTACTAGATTTCTTTTATACCTCAGACAAGTCAGGTGTTCTACGATGACCAAAAAACTCTGCCTTGATCTCTTCTACTTTCCTTCTGTCATCTTCATTTAATTCTGATATGGAGTATCCATGGTCATCAGCTAAATTATACTTCATATTCCAGGCTGAAGAGAAAGCATAGCAACACTGAGATAATACAGGACAAAAGTGGTAACTTTTCAATAATTATAAGAGCACAGAAAATCCTCAACATATGCAACTTAACACATACTACAATGCTTAAGCTCAATTATATAACAACCTATTAAAGTTCTTGAGAGATCATTTTACTAGAGTATTTTTTTTAAAACCCACATTGTACAGTATTTCTCCAAAGAAACCACTTTAAATATGGTATTAAATCACTTTTATCTTAATCTCTGTTCTCATCAATAGTTCTTTGCCTCCTCTTTTAGCTCCTACTTACAGTTGACCACTTTTACGAAAGCTCATTATTTTAAATTAATAAAACTACAGAATTCTTTGTAGAACCAAAATGTACAAGGAACAGTACAGAACTTCCTTCTCAAAGGAAGATTCCTATGTAGGCCTGAGTTGCTCATAAATTGTCTTCCAAAACATATTCCCTATAAATATTAAAGATTTTACTTTCTCTTTTAAGAGAATTCTACTTCTAGAGATTAATGAGATTACTAAATATTCTCTTTTGTAGCACAAGTCTTAGTGTGAAAAATACTTTGACATGTCTTGTTTTTTAACATCTGAGATCAGCTTTACGGATTTTATTAGAAAATGAGAAAAAAGCTTTAGAATACAGGACAATTTAGAGAAAGCAAACTGGAAGCTTCTTCTGCTCTCCCCAAAAGGATACTATAATGGGAAGATTAGGGAAACATGACAGCTTTAAGAGCTTGGAGATCCAAGCTACTTTCTTACTCTCTATGACTCATCAGAATCTACATACTTCGTCAAAGGCTGTAAACTCAGACTCACACTATAATATTCTACCTTAGCTACATTATTGCTTAAATAGTTTTTTTCTGCACTGCTGGTAGAAAATACTATCATCCTAACAAATTCTATATGAAAATAAAGAACTGCAAACATCTAAGTATAAACAAATTATTAAACTATAATATTTATAAGCCTGAACATGATGATATGACAAATGATCAAGTCTTACCTCGTGTTCGTACCCGGTATTCTTCTTCCTCTGCATTCCTCAGTATTTGTTTGGCATGATTCAACGAGGATTCACACTGCAGAAGGTTTCTTACATGTGCAGCCAGTGAATCTACACTACCACCACCATCCTCGCTCTCTGATACACCCTCTTCCTCCCTGCTATCTGTTAGGCTTGCTTTGGATGAAGTATATGGAAAGAAGTTTAGAAGAACATCTGAAACCGATCCCAAAGACTCTGGCAAATTACTGTCCCAAGAGCAGGAAGCATTTCCATCACTTGCATCACTACTTAAATCATTTTTTATGAAAGTCATCATAGGGATAATAATTTTATTCCCAATGGTTCCACTATAACCTTCAGGTTCAGACCTCAGTACAGATTTAGCTACTTCATATTGCCTAAAAGTTTCATCTAATGCCACTCTGGCTTTGCTTTCTACTTCCTGTAAAGGATTTCTAATTGCTGTTGAACTAATAAACTCCCAATTTTCAATGCCTCTCTGGCATTTTACACTTGTCTGTGTGCCAGTATCCTTCTCTATGTACCTGTTGTTTGGGTTTTCCTCTGTAAATGGCTCTCTCTGTAGCATATCACCATTAGATACATCAATTGAGGAAGGTTCCTTGAAGCAAACTACCTTCTTAGATTGTATAAATGAAATATCATTAACATCTCTGAAGGGAATGAGTGGAGCAGAAAAGTTACAACGTTTCAGTGCTATATTTTCTGCCTCCATTAAAAGTGTCCGAATTTCTTTAAGAGTTTTGGAACTGTTTGCTGTATCCTGGACTTCCTCAGAGCCAATATCTTCAAAACGTTTAGATTCTGGCTTAGTTACAACTCCATCATCAACCTGAGAATTTAAAAACATATTATTTGGTCTAAAACTGAAGTCAGAGGAATTCAAATTATGTATTAGCCTTTGGACATGTTCTGAAACAAGTTTGTGTTTCTCATCAGGTAAATAAGTACCAGAGGAAACTACTGGCAACTCAGTAATTTGATCACCTTGTCTAAGACCAGTTGAGACCTTTGGGGCATCTTTAATTAGATGTCTACCTGGCATGTCTTTCTGATAGAAAATATTTTGTTTTTCACTGTATGAAAAGGAACTAGGAGGAGATCCTGGCAACACCATTTTCTGATCAGCTGGTGCAGGAACTGTTGAAAATTTCAGTGCATCTTCAGTTAGATTTCTGTCTGGCAATTCCTGTAGATGGAAAGTATTAGATTTTTCTCTGTGTAAATAAGAGTCAGAGAGAGGTATTGGTATCCCAGTATTTACCACAGCTGGTTCGGGGACACTTGAGATCTTTAGAGTATCTCCACTTTGATCTCTATCTGGCAAGTGCTGTTGAGGTTTTTCTCTCTGGGAATATGAACTATGAAAAATTGTCAGTAATGGAGCTGTCTGGTCATTTAGGCCAATCACAGGTGAAATACTAGGCTTGTCTTTCTGTAAGTAGGAACTGCAGGTAGTTGTTGGTGGCTCAATCTTCTTGTCGTCTGGCATATTTACAGTTGAAATCTTGGGTTTCTCTTCACATGAGTAGAAATTAGATGGTAATGTGGGTACCCTATTTGTCTGATCAGCTAGTCTGGGAACAGCTGAAGCCTTGAGGGACTCTTCAGTTAGACCACCGGGCTTGACTCCATGAGAGGAGGAACCAAAAGGTCCTGTTGGTGTTCCAGCCTTCTGTTCTGCTGGTAAAAAAACAGGTGAAATTTTCAGAGCTTCTACAGTGAGATAGCTGTCTGGAAACTCTTGCGGCAAGGAAACACTGGGCTTTTCTTTATGTGAGTAGAAACTTGAAGGTGTCAATGGTACCCTAATCTTCTGACCATCTGGTCCAGAATGAACAAAAACATCTACAGCACCTTCTGTAATATTTGGCAACTCCTGCTGATGAAAAACACTGGGCTTCTCTTCATGTGAATAGGAAACAGAAGACACTGTTTGTATACTGGGCTTCTGATTAGCAGAAACCTCTACTGTTTCTGAAGCTACTTCAGTAAGATCTGGTAATTCCTGGTAAGGCTGGTATGAAATGAAGGTCTGTTCTCCCTGTGAGTAGGTGGAAGAAGGCACTATGTATATCCCAGTCTTCTGGTCAGAAGGCCCAGGAACATCTAAAATCTTCAAAGCTTCTTCATTTACATTTGACAACACTTGTTCGTAAGAAATAAGAGGTTTCTCTCTATTTGAGTAAGGGGTAGAGGACACTATTTGTATTCCACTTTTCTGTTTGGCAGGCCCAAGAACACCTAAAACTTTCAAAGCTTCTTCATTAACATCTGGAAACACATCCTCGTAAGAAACACTAGGCTTCTCTCTATTTGAGTAAGGGATAGAGGATACTATTTGTTTTCCAGTTTTCTTTTCATCAGTTCCAACAACACCTAAAACTTTCGAAGCTTCTTCATTAAGATCTGGAAACACTTCCTCGTAAGAAACACTTGGGTATAAGTAGGAAGTAGAAGGTACTGTTGGTATCCCAGTCTTTTGGATAACTGGTCCAGAACCAAGTGAAACTTTCTCAGCCTTTTCTGTTAGAGGGCTATCTGCCAATTCCCGCTGGTAAGAAATATTCTTCTCTCTATCTGAGTAGGAAAAAGATGTCACAGTGGGTGGGATCTCAGTCTTCTGATCAGCTGATTTAGGAACAACTGGAATTTTCACACCTTCTTTAGTTAGTTCACTATTTGGCAGGGTCTGCTGGTAGACAATAATGGGTTTTTCTCCCAGTGAGTAGAAAGTAGGAAATGCTGTTGTTGATTTCTCAGTCTTCAGATCAGCTGGTCCAGGAGAAGCAAAAACTTTTAAAATCCCTTTAGGTAGATGAACATCTGGCAAGGACTGCTGATAAAAAATAACAGGTTTCTCTCCAAATACGTAGGAACCTGAAGATACTGCTGGTGTTCCAGTCTTCTGTTCCGCTGCTGCAGAATCAGCTAAAACTTTCAGAGCCTCTTCAGGTAAATGACTACTTAGCAAGACAGGTTGGTAGAAAATAATGGGTTTCTCTCCAAGTGAGTAGGAACTTGAAGATCCTGTGGGTGTTCCAGTCTTCTGGTCAGCTGGAGAAGCTGAAACTTTTGGGGAATCTCTAGGTATATAACTTTCTGGTAACTCTTTTTGGGAGGAAATACCAGGGTCCTTTCTATGTGAGTAGGAAGTAGAGGTTACAGTTGATATGCCACCTTTTTGGTTATCTGGTCCAGGAGCAGATGAAACTTTCAAAATGTCTTCAGCTTGATGACTCTTTAACAAGGCCTGCTTATAAAAAATACCAGGCTTATCTATTTGTGAGTAGGAAGCAGAAGACACTGCTGATGTTCCTGTCTTCTGCTCTACCGGTCCAGGAGCAGATGAAACTTTTACAGCATTTTCTAAATTACCATCTAGCAACTTGTCCTGATAGAATACACTGGGTTTCTCTTTATATGAGTAGGGAGCAGATGTTAGAGTTGGTATATGATATATCTGGTCAGCTGGTCCAGAAACAGCTGAAACTTTGAGAGTATCTTCAGGTAAATGACTACCTGACAGAACTGGCTGGTAGGAAATAGGTTTCTCTCTGCGTGAATATAAAACAGAGGTTACTGCTGGTATCCTAGTCTTCTGGTCAGCTGGTCCTGGAACAACAGATTCTTCTGGAGACTTTTCTGTTGGATGATTATCTGGCAATTCTTGTTCATAGAAAACACTGGGCTTTTCTCTATGTGAGTGGGAAATAGAGGATACTGCTGGTGTCCCAGTTTTCTGGTCAGCTAATCCGTAAACAGCTGAAGCTTTCACAGGCTCCTTAGTTGTATAAATGTCTGACAAGGTCTGTTGGTAGGAAATACCAGGTTTTTCTCTCTGTGAATAAAAACCACCAGAGTGTGTTGTTAGTATTCCATTTTTTGGGTCACTGGGTCCAGAAGCAGAAGAAACTTTTAGAGTCTCTTCAGATAGATGGCTCTGTACCAACTCTTGTTGGTGTAAAATACTATTCTCTCTAAGTGAGTTGGAAGTAGAGGAGACAGTTACTATTCCAGTCTTCTGATCAGCAAATCCACGAAGAGTAGATTCTTTCAGGTTCGTCGCAGTTAAAGGACTTTCTGGCAAGGCCTGAAGATTCAAAGTATGGGACTTTTCTCCATGTGAATAGGAAGTAGAAGAGACTATAGTTATTCCAGTCTTTTGGTCAGCAACTGAAACTTTCAGAGTTTCTTCATTTAGAAGACTGTCTGGCAAAGGCTGCTGATAGAAAAGATCAGGCTTATCTTTTTGTGAGTAGGAAGGGGAAGTTATAGTTTGTATGCCAGTCTTCTGTTTAGCTGATTCAGAGACAGCTGAAACTTTCAATGACTGTTCAGGAATATGACCATCTGGCAAGCCTTCTTGGTATAAACTACTAGGCTTCTTTCTTTGTACATAAGAAGCAGAAGTTATATGTGGTGTCCTACTCTTCTGGTCAGGTGGCCCAGAAACACCTAAAACTTGTGAAGTCTCTTCAGTTAAATGACTCTCTGGCAACTCTTGTTGGTATGAAATACCAGGTTCCTCTCTACTTGAGTAGGAAGTGGAGCTTACAGTTGGTATGCCAGTCTTCTGGTCTGGTGCTCCAGGAAGAGCCGAAACTTTCAAAGTCTCCTTATCCTTAGTTAGATAACTACCTGGCAACTCCTGCTGGTAGAAAATATTGGGTTTCTCTTTATGTGAGTAGGAGGGAGAGAGGACTGTTGCTGTCTCAGTCTTCTGATCAACAGATCCAGACACAACTGAAACTGTCAGTGACTGATCTGCTAGATGACCATCTGGCAAGCTCTGGTGGTACAAAATATTGGACTTCTCCCCATGTGAGTAGGAAGGAGGAGGTTCTGATGGTATCCCAGTCTTCTGCTCAGCTAGTTCAGTAATATGCGAGACTTTCAGACTTGCTGTAGCTTGATGACTATCTGGTAAGGCCTCCTGATTAAGAATATCGATGGGCTGACCAGTAGTATTTTTTTGAGAACTTATAGCCGGCTGAGGCAAGTCCTCGGAGGACAAGGATAAATGGGATCCAATGTCTGAATCTCCAGAAGTGGTAATACCTGACTGCAACTTGGACTGAATAATTTCACCTTTGTCTCCTTTAGAGGTATCTCCTAAAGAAAAAGATATTCGTTAATATTAGACATTTTGTTCAATTTAAAAACCTTTTTACACTGAAAAAAAATAAGCCAACTTTCACCACCTTGAGCCTTTAAGTTTTTAGAAATGAATCCCATGTAAATAATCATCAAAGGAGACAAACATGTATGAGACATTTATTACAAAGCAAACTAAAATGAAAATCATCAACAGAATGTCTTAAAATAGCAGTGTATCTACTTAGCCACTATAATACTTCACAGATCTTAAAATTTAGATTTATTTTTAAAACTTTCAGTGACATGGGAAAATGCTATTGGGTCTGGGATTTGATTTCAACCTATTTATAAGCTAAATGCCTACTGTGTCAGCAATGCTGCCAGAAGACATAATTTCCTTAGAGACAAAGACTTGCTATGACAAAGGATTATCACCTCATCTTCAAGGGTTTCTCATGCCCTTAAGTCCCATGGGAGCAATGCAACATAGATCAGATGTATGCTATCCATCCAATGGGTTTGACTGATTCTCCTTGTATAATGTATGTGTGTGTGAGCATGTATGTGTTTGTATATATGCATACACACACATACACATATATAAATAATACCTTACATATAAGTAAACTGAGTTTCTAAGATAACTATAGGGCCAGCAATTTAGCTCAGCAGTTTGGTGGCCTGCCTTGCAAGCGCAAGGACCCGAGTTCAATCCCCAGGACCCCCCCAAAAAAATCAGATAACTATATATCAGTGCTTCTCAGTGTGGTATCTAGCTAACTTGCAGATTCTGGTTCAGCATATCTGTAATGAGACTTGAAATTTCCCATTTTACAAGCTTCCTAGTGATACCCAATACTATTGGTCCTTAAATCACAGTTCTGAGTAGCAAAGATACTTAATTTTTCTAAAGTTTGTAGAGTAAATGACAAAATCTGATAATTTAATCCTTTGATTCTAATTCTAAACTCTGAACTACTTCCACTACAACTGACTACCCTTCTTTAAGACCAGTGTTGAGCTTAAAAAGTATACCTGAATACAGAATGATATGGGTTGAGTAGTGAATTATACAGTAAAGGAGTTGAAGTATTAAGCATTAACTCTTCAAGAAAACTAAAAGTAAGGGCCAATGCAGGCTCATGCCTGTAACCCCAGTCTTGGGAGGCTGAGGCAGAAGAATGATGGATTTGAAGGAAGGGAGGGGACAAAGGGAAGTGGGAGAGGGAAGGGAGGGAAAAGGGAGGAAAGCAAAGGAGGAGGGTGAAGCAGAAGAGGAGAAGGAAGCGGGAGAGAGAAGAGAGGAGGAAAAAGAGAGGGAAGCAAAGAAGGAGGGTAAAGCAGAACAGGAGAAGGAGAAAGGGAAAGACAAAAGAGGAGGAAGGAGACAGACATGGGAAAAAGAAGAAAAACTACAAGTGAAGGAAAATGTGTAACTGCATTATAACCTGAGAAGGAATAAGGATTACAAATATGTGTAACAAATAAAATAGGCTCAAAAAGTTAATAAACAAAAAATTAACAAGATAAAATTTTGTTTTTCAAAATGATTTCCTAATTTTTTGAAGATTTTACATCCCTTTGACCACTACGAATTATTAGTGACATCAAGAAGGGGCCAACATGACATAAATGGTCAAGGAGTTAAGATATACAGTACAGATCCTTGAAAGATATAGAGGCTTACATAAGATAACAATATATGTATGAAGGTCTTAGGAGGAAGGAAAAGATTAGTAAAGAAGCTTTGAAGAACAACTATTGGGTAAGCTGTTAAAACTGCAAAAGAGATTTATAGTGTTAAAGAAATTCCCCAATGGTTCTATGTATACTTGCAGGTATATACATACTTCACACTCATAGAAATAACTGTGGTCATAAATCTATTATCAGTTTAAAATGTTTGTGGAGGAAAGGAACTCATGATAATGGATAGCATAGTTTGCATCTGTATTATTTATCCCTGTGAGAGAGAGATAAACATACTAAGGGGTGAGCATTACAATATCACTGCATACCTAGTGCGTCTCTGGATATAAATTTTCAAACTGAGGGTGGGTTGAAAGGAGTTTTGACCACGAAGAGGAACAGAGCTGTCCAGAAAGAGACTATGACAAAATTGCATATCTCTGGAACTGTATGCCTTGCTGAGAGGAGATTAAGACTAACAACCTGGCTAGGATTTGCTCAAAAACCATTCCCATAGGATGAGAAAATGAAAAAATGGAAATAAAGTGTTTGTAAATGGGGAGGGTAGAAGGGGGTGAAGGGAGGGCAGGGACAAGAAAAAAATGAGAACCAAGATGTGTCATGTAAAGGTACAAGATCCCAATGATGAATGTAACTGTACTGCATACCTAAAATGTACCAATAAACTCAATGAGAAGAAAAAAAAAACATTTCCATAGGAACCAGACACTTATTAACATAGAGGACTTCCTTTAGAAACAAAGACAGCATATTATTTTTCAAAATATAATCTCAAGTCCTCTGTGACCTGACTAAGGATACAAGTAAGTCCTTTATTTTTCACAGACAAGATGCATGGTCCGGGGATTTAGCTCAGTGGCACCGCGCCTGCCTTGCAAGTGCAAGTGCAAGGTACTGATTTTGATTCCCAGTACCACCAAAAAAAAGAGATGTAATTCCAGATGTTCATTTTATGTATCACAATGAGCTTCTTACTAGTCACTATTTCAAGTAAAGTATAAAGGGGTATTAATACTGGCACACACAAATAAATTAGTTTTTTGGTTTTTTGTTTTTTGAGATGGTCTCACTATGTACTTCAGGCTGGTCTCAAACTCACAGCAATCCTCCTCCTGCCTCAGCCTCCCAAGTGCTGGGATTAAGGGCATGTGCCACCACGCCCAGCCTGCACACACAAATAAATTAGTATGTTTCTCAATATCCAGACCTCTAATTTAGTCACTACTATGAGGTATTGGTTGTCTGTAAAGTACCTAGTGTGTACAACAAGTAGACTAAAATTCCTGCAATTTTAAGGACAGTAGTGATACTTTTAAGTTGGTCTTTTTTTTTTTGGATTTTACTCCTGATTCTTTTTTTTTTCAGCTTTAATTGAGTTTATTGGTACATTTTAGGGATACAGTACAGTTACATTCATTGTTGGGATCTTGTACCTCTACATGACAAGTCTTGATTCTCATTTTTTCCCCTTACCCCTGCCCTCCTCTATCTTCACTATTTTTCTTGCTATGAATTATTATAGATAAGTCATTTTATTAAAAATTTTAATGATTTTTATAAATTCTTAAATATTATTGATGACTAGATAATTATTACAATTTTATCATGAGATCTGATCTCCAGTACCTTGATAGATGTTTATATAATCATTATTTAAAACCTAAATTTTCTCTTAGACTATATTACATGCACATTATACTTTAAAAAGTATACAAAGTGCCTGCATAGTGACACTTCTTGTCCTATTGATAAACATGTCATTTTAAAAACTCACAATACAATATCAAGTTATGAGTTTTAGTAACTAATAGGGCACTGATTGGTAAAATACAAATCACATATACAAGTTTATATTACAATCTAATACTTTTGTTATTATCGCTAAGTTTTTTCTTCTTTTTGTACCGGGGATCGAACTCGGGTCCTTGCACTTGCGAGGCAGGCCACCAAACCACTGAGCTAAATCCCCAGCCCCACTAAGTTCTTTTTCAATGTGAAAGTGAAGATAGGTATGGTAAGAGGATCACGGGACTCTTCTGTACACCTAAATGGGCAGGGGCTTAAAAACCTGATGAACTGCTAGTGTTGTGGAAAGTTCATGAACTCTGCACTCAGATATCAAATGTAACATGTACTATTTCCTAACCGAATAACCCCGGGAATTTCAGTTTAATCATATCACCTCACAGGATTATAGATATTAAATGAGATCATATATGGAAAGTACCTGGCAAACAAAGAGTACACCTTTACTTACAGAAGTTCCCTGTGAGACAGGAGGAAGGTATAATGCCAGGCTTGCTTCTAGTCTCCTTATCAGAAAGAACTCTCCTCCTAAAGTCCTGCCCCAACCAAAGTCTCACTTATTCTTTAAGACACATTCACATATTCCCTCCACGAACTGATCAAACTGCTCCTTAAGGGAGAAGATACCCAATAAAAAAATAACCTAAGTAGTAAAGCTAATCCCAACTGAGCGTTAATCAAAATTCTAACAGGAATATTAATAAACTTAAAATAAATGGGTTAATCAGCTTTAGTTATTGAAAAATGTATATAGAAATCAAAGCATCATGTGTTCAACTTAAAATAATAATAATTAGGGTTTTTTTTTTGACGTTGTTGTTTTTTTGGTACTGGGGATCAAACTCCAGATCTTACACTTGTGAGGCAGGCAGTGGCAACACTGTGCTAAATCCCCGGCCCAGGCAAAAGAGCCATCTTGTTTGCTTTCGGTTTTTTGTTTTGTTTTTTGGTACCAGGGATTGAACTTAGGACCTTTCACTTGCCAGGCAGACATGGAGCCACTGAGCTAAATTCCTGGTTCTTTGGAATTAGGAAAAAAAAAAAAAAATTTAAAATACCAGCAATCGAACTCAGGACCTTAAGCTTTCTGGGAAATCTTTCCTGCTCCCAGAGAAGCAGAAGTGCCAGCATCACATTCCAAGACCCTGGACAGATCCAGCATCCAGTTACCAGGCCCCACGAAATGGCTTTGACATTCAAGAAAGGGGTTCATCATAGCACCAGGGTTATTAAAATTATTAAAAAATTATTTTAAAATAATTGTTTAAAATACCTATAGAAACCTGTAATACTTAAGACACTGTAATACTAGTACAAGGACAAACAAATAGATCAATGGACAGAATAGGGAGCTCACAAATAGGGTCCCACAATCAGTCATCTGAAATAGAGGTGATGTTAAAGGAAGAAAAAGAATGCAGCTATGAAAAGTCCAATATTTTATTATGTGTGGGGCCTTAGGCAAGTCATTTAACTTCTCTAAGATTCATTTTGTTCAA